AATTGTACGTAATCAATTGTGCATATTTGCGAATTCGTTTTAGTATGTATGCATTTTCTTTGCTTCTCCAAGTTCGTAAAAAGAGATCCCAACAACCGTTTCATGTTCCATTTGTTTCTCGAGAGTTTCAATCAGAGTTTAATAAAATGATCTCCTAAGTCAAAGAGCCAAGTACGTATTTTTACGTTTCTGTCGCCGTTTTTATTGTTTAGCCGTTCTCTTCTCCGCATTGCAAAATAAATATTTTTCTTAATTTATGTTACATGCGTGTATATGTGTATTTCCTTGCTTCGTTAAGTTCGTTTAAAGAGAAGTGTGTGCGTTCGGTTCGAGAGCTTTAGCAACAACAGTATAACCATTGACAAATTAGGTATAGACTAAAAAGTTGTCTCATCTGTTATCTCTGAAAAAAGTGCTTCAATAGATGTCGTTCATGCTGTGAGAGAGGTTCAGTAGACTCACTCAATTCTCTCAAAATACAAAATATTAAATATTTTTATGATTCTTTATTAATTATCAATTAAAAACGAAACATCGACTTTGTTTACTTTTATATTATTCAAATATGTCGTGAAATATAAAAATATAGAACTTAAAAAGCAGAAAAATTAATAAATTGTTTTCAAAGTCAAGTGACTTCACTGGCCCTGAGTGACTTGACTGGCCCAAGATCAATCATAGTGACATCTGCCGGAAGGGGTAAATTTTAAAACTTTTTAGTCTATACCTTTATTTGTCTATGGTATAACATCATAGACAAATAAAGGTATAGACTAAAAAGTTTTAAAATTTACCCCTTCCGGCAGATGTCACTATGGTTGATCTTGGGCCAGTAAAGTCACTCAGGGTTAGTGAAGTCACTCGACTTGGAAAACTATTTATTAATTTTTCTGCTATTTATGTTCTATATTTTTATATTTTACGACATAGCTGGTTAATGTAATGAAAAAATTGCTCAGTAGACACACTCACAGAGAGGTTCAGTAGACTCACCGAATATAGCCGTTATATTGGGCTCTATACGACGGGGACCTACATAGGCATTGTTAATCATAAGCCATTACCATATACAAATTCGAAACTTGAAATAAACGGTGAATAATGTAGCTAAAATCATGAAAATATCGTATATAGGGAGGTACCGTTATATCGGAGCTGTGCGAAGACCTGGACCTGCAAAGACAATTTTTTGTCTTAGGCTGTAGTATCCATTTCGAACTTCTAATACTAAATTTGAAACAATTCTGGTGAATAATGTCGCTAAAATCATCAAAAATACCGAATATCAGGAGGTACCGTTCCAATCCAATTTGTTCGAAAGATAGCGTGAATACAACAGAAGACGGACAGACAGATAGACCGACATTATAAATCGATTTAGAATTTTACGCTGATCAAGAATATATATACTTTATCCTTTAAAAATATTTGCGGTTTAATGGAAAATTTTATTTTGAGTTAACACAAATGTTATGGTCTATTTTACCCACTAAAAATTACCCGATGACCATCAAAATTGGAAGACTTCTGCCCAGCCCTAAGCTCTAGCCCCAGGCTAACTTCCGCTTCGATTGGTCTGTAATTGCGACCTGTAGAGCAACCTAAATATTATGCGATTATCTTCAAAAGCAATAGGCTTCTGTTCTGGCTCTAGCCCCACCTCCATTCTAAATTTCGTGAAGATCGGGCCATAATTTCGACCTGTAGAATGATAACAAATTAACATGTACAGACGGACGGACGGACATACATAGCTAGATCGACTAAGCGCGGCGAGATTGGAAGATTCTTATATACTAAAAAGTTTTGATCGTCGCGTGTGTTCGAATTGCACGTGAAATTCGTAGAATATTATTTAACATTTATTTACGAAAGTGTCCGTCGGATCGTTGCATGTATCGCGACTGTTCAACCAATGAACTGCTCAAGGAGTAATGCCACTAATGAAGTTGAAGAGGTAAGCTTTTTAAGCTATGTACACAGTATAAAATATCGCCATCTGTTTTTTATGGATCAACGGAAAATATGTATTATAATAAGATGCAAATACATATAATATGAAGAAGGGACGTTTACTTTCTATCTTATTTCGGTAAATGGCGTTGAAAACATTGACAAATCATATCATATCGGTATCATGATATAGCATTATATTTTTTCAGATTTTTATCGATTGAAATCTATTACTTTGCGAGTGTCATTCATTTTCTTGCAATTTTGGAATAACATACTTCTGTAATGTTTCTGATGCATTTTTTTCATGCTATCGGTGCAAGACATAAATATGAAACAAAATACATATTGCTGTGTAGAAGTTCAAACAAGGGTGACAATATGAAAACAAAGTCGCAATGCACTGAGGTGGCTGGAAGCACAGATGATTCCAGAAAATCTGTAACAGCAATTCGGTCTGAGAGAGTACCCAGAGAGAGTTGTAGAGAAATGACTTGGATAACCTGCCTACGGTCCGAGCTGTGCAAACGTACTTGGAAGGCTTTCTCCTTACGGTCCGTGCCAAGCGAACGTAGGGTCCAAGGGGAGTTGCAGGCATCCTTTTAGTCCAAGAACACATATCTCTATGGTCCGTACTGAGCGAACGTAGGCTCTCTGGATCATTTGGAAATATGCAATTCTAACTTCAATTTTTTATTTTGGCCATAATTTCTTTTTATTGAGATTTAAATCTCCGATTTTTGATGTTAAACATTTATTTTTTTTTTAGTCATAACTTTTTATTATTGAGTTTCTCGCATTTTAAGGGTGTTTTAAATATTCTTTTTTTAGTGTTAAACACTTCAGTTTCTTATTTTAGCCATAACATCTTTATTATTGAAGTTTTCGCATGCTGAGGGTGTATTACATACAACACTATGTGTCACCAACACTAAGTTTGATTGGATCAAAATTATGTAACACCTCAAAATATTGGTCCCCGACATAGGAAACTATATACAAATACATAGAAGACCGCTAAACCAGTATGCAATTAATTACGATGGTCTATGGAACAGTATTTTGAAATCAACTTTTGGATTATTCAAGCTTTTATTTGTCGTTATACCATAGACAAATTAAGGTATAGACTAAAAAGTTGTCTCATCTGTTATCTTCGAAAAAAGTGCTTCAATAGATGTCGTTCATGCTGTAAGAGAGGTTCAGTAGACTCACTCAATTCTCTCACTATACAAAATATTGAATATTTTTATGATACTTTAATATTTATCAATTAAAAACGAAACCGTGACTTTGTTTACATTGACATTACCCAACTATGTCGTCAAATATATAAATATAGAACTTAAAAAGCAGAATAATGAATAAATTGTTTTCGAAGTCGAGTGACTTCACTAGCCCTGAGTGACTTAACTGTCCCAAGATCAACCATAGTGACATCTGGCGGAAGGGGTAAATTTTAAAACTTTTTAGTCTATACCTTAATTTGTCTATGGTTATACCCTATAACTCTATGTGTTGGAAGCATTATATGTTTGATTGGGCCAAATTGGTTTCCCACATAGGAATGTATATATGGATCTTCCTATCTTGCCGAGCTGAGTCGATCAAGCAATGTATGTCCGTCCGTCCGTCTGCCCATATTAATTTGTAATCGAGCTAAAGGTCGCAATTTTGGCCCGATCCACGCGAAATTGAAAATGGAGGTGGAGTTAGGGTCAGAATATAAGCCTATTCCTTATGGAGATGATCGCAAAATATTAAGGGGTTGAAATGAAAAAAAAAATCGGAAAAAATATTAATTTTGCTTTTACTCACAGGAAACAGTTATAGACCAATCGGTTTTGCATGGAGTTATAGTTTAGGGCTGGACAGAAGCCTGCCAATTTAGACGACCATCGCACAATATTTAGCGAGTAAAATAAACCATAACTTTTGTGTAAAAAATTAGAAAATTTCCCCTAAACCGCTAATATTTTTAATCCCGGCGAAGTCACAAATACATTAAAAAGTCACTTCTGACTATTGCAGTGATGCTGATAGCCAAGATATATATGTAAAAGATATTGATGTTAGTTATTCCGCTTATAAGTTAAAAACCGCTGGACCGCTCACAATTCTCATCAATTCAGAATGGTGTTTCCAAAAAAAAAAAAAAAAAATTAAGGCCAAAAAATCGGTTAAAAATATACCAATAAAGAAAGTAATATTTTTTTTACATATTCCAGTTTTTGTCATATTTGTCATTTAATTTTCTAATATTGGACATAACTTCTATATTTTTTGAGTTTTTCGTATTCTTAGGGTGTTCTAAATCTGTATTTTTAATATTGAACATTTAATTTTCTTATTTTGGTCATTAATTTTTGTCGAGATGCCAAATTGAACAGGTATCTCCCATATATAATGTTCTTCCGATTTATTATATTTGTTCTCCACAGCCGTAATATCCAATATGCAGATTTACCCATTTGGTGCACAATTAACTTGAAATCGAATAAAGATAAATATGGGAGCTGTATCCGATATTTATCTTTATCCGAATTCAAGTTAATTGTGCACCAAATGGGTAATACAGGCCCGAAATGAAAAGACACAATGTTTTGGGAAATTAAGTGGAAATCGATTCGTATATTATTCCCTTTTGCCTTTGAATTAATTCCCACAAATTTCCCATAAAAAACTATTATTTGTTATATGAAGCCCTATTAAGCTCCCATCTTTATCTTTATTTGATTTCAAGTTAATTGTGCACCAAATGGGTAATACAAGCCCGAATTGGAAAATCACAAATGTCTCGCCAATTAAGTAGAAATCGATTAAGAGGAGGATGTTCCTCTCATACATTATTTCCTTTGGCCATTGAATTATAACTATGATCATAGTTAGTATGATTCAATTCACACAAAGATCAGTCAGAAGTATTGCATAAGTTAACAATGGATCCAGAAAAAGTCACAGTGTGATGTGGGTTTATGGGCTGATGGTATCATTGGTCAAAGACGCAAATTAAAAATTCAAGCATTTTTCTGAAATTTATGTATTTTTTTCTATTGATTGGAAGGAAATACGACATCATTTTTTAAAATCGGTTCATATTAGGATATTAGTTCTCTTTGATTTCATACTACATCTGCTTTAAAGCCATTCACATTCACAAAAACGAGCTGAGTTTGTATGATCTACTCCACATAAACTCTCAATATAAACTCTAATTTTCTACGGTTATTGACAGGTCAAAATAAAACGTTTATAATTATTACAATTATATTTTATTTCAATTGAAGTTATTCATAATAAATCGACCACAATTTGTTTGCATTGCACTCATATGACATTAGTTCTGCGATCACACTGACCCAACAACCATTGACATTCAGGTGATGTAAAATTATAAATTCCATTTTTGAAGGCTGTTACTTTTCGCCTGTGGTCGTCATATTTTTCCTCTGTTGAGCACATTACATAATCGCCTTGATAAAAAACGACAAGATCATTATCGATAAAATCAATTTCCCAAATAGAATTTTCTGGCTCAGAGTGAAATTCCCAGCTTGCAATCATTTTCGAGTCCGGCATAATATAATAAAATTTATCGAACTTAGTGCTTTTTAATTCGACCAAAAATTTTGTTTTATTTCTCGTATTCCGCTCGCTTACTTTGGCTGTAATCAAACCCATATAATTAATGCTCAATTTTTCATACCACAACCAAACATGACGACTTGAGGGATCAATACTATTTGGCGTAACTGTTGTATACAAATATTCTGAATATTTCAAATTCATGAGACAGAAGTGACTGCGAAATAAGAGGTAATGTAAATTTGTGGGTAGTTCTTGTATGTGGACATTGATGTTTTGCCTGAGCTCAGCATTCAAAGACTTGTAGATTTTTTCTTGTTTAATTTTATTCAGGACCATGGCGAATTTTCTTTGATAATCAGCTTTATTTGTTTGCATTCTCTGAATGGTATTCTGATAATTTATAAGTTGCGACTTCACCATTAATTCAACGAATTTTTTATCTGCATTGCCTTGATATATTGCCTGTATTAACTCCAGTGTCTGAAGTGGAGTTCTGCAACCATAGATACCAGTCATAGCATCATAGAGAATATCATCAATCAATTGTGTTTCGTATTCCTCCAACATTGTGTTAACTTGGTTCCCGATTTCTTGTTTGACTGCCGCCACATTACCGCCACACAAAATCTTGACCAAGAGCTGAGAGTGTTCCTTCCGCAAATGGATTCTTAGGCTCTGCTTTAACTTATCTAAAACAACTTGTTCGCGTAAAACCTTTTCGTACAACTGTTTGGTTACTTCTATGTCGTTGGCAGATTCAGTTTCAATTTTATTCGATTCTCTTAATAAGTCGTCAAAACCTGAACCGGAGAACCTGCCAAACAAGGTCAATATTACGAAAAAAAGAAACGTTTTCTTCGACAACATTTCCGTAAAAGTTGTGTGTTTATTGAACGACTCTTGACGAATGACAGACTGTTTACAAAAATTGTACATATATAAATTTGCTTCATATTTGTATATGTGAAATGAGAAAATACTGATAAGCAACAAGTGCAGTAAACTCGCTCACAGAGTCAATTAATTGTTCGTTTATAAGTTACCACGCTCAAAGCAGAGACCTACACGGGGTGAGGTACTGGGTCCATCCCCTTCAAAATTTTTATTTCACTGTATTTGACACAAAAGTAGAAAAAACTGTCTAGAAACAAGTTAATTTTTATCTAGTTGCACAAACCCCCCCAAAACGGGTGCAAAATACATTTCTTGACACGTCCCTGAACATATCGTAGCCCAAACGGCTGATGTTGAAAACAAATGCTTCCATTTTTCTTCTTTATTCCGGCTCTGCTTTATACTTTGTATAGCGGGTGCTTGATTACAAGTCTTTATTTAAGAAAAAAACAAGTAAAAAAAACATTAAGTTCGGCCGAGCGAAACATTAAATACCCTCCACCTTAGGGTAAAGGAAACATTTGAAGAAATGTGGCAAAAACCATCAAAATACCGAATATGGAGAGGTACCGTTATATGGGGGCTATATCAAATCATGGACCTATACATACAATGTTTCACCAACGGAGCTAGAACCCATTATGACTACAAATACCAATTTTCAGACAAATCCGTGAAAAAATGTGGCAAAAATCATCAAATTACCGAATGTTGGGAGGTACGGTTATATGGGGGCTATACCAAAACGTGGACCTGTAATTACAATGACTCGCAACGCGATCTGGGACCCATTATGATCTACAACTACCAATTTTCAGAGTAATTCTTGAAAAAATGTGTCAAAAATAATCAAAATACCGAATATTGGGAGGTACCGTTATACGGGGACTATATCAAAACGTGGACCTATACATACAATGTTCCGCCACACGAACTAGAACCCATTATGACCCACAAATACCAATATTTAGACAAATCAGTGAAAAATGTGGCAAAAACCATCAAAATACCGAATATTGGGAGGTACCGTTATATGGGGACTATACCAGAACGTGGACCGATATATCTCATTTTCAATACCAATACCATTTTCTGCTAAATTTTGGCGCTTTACGTCAAATAATGTGGGCTGTATCGTGATTTCAACTGACAGACGGACAGACAGACGGACAGACAGACAGACAAACGGACACACAGACAGACGGACATATATACTTTATGGGGTCTACGACGAATATTTAAGGATGTTACAAACGGAATGACAAGTTAATATACCCTTCTTTCCAAGGTGGAGGGTATAAAAAAAACACTAAATATATTTATCTCTGTGTTTTATTTAATTTTATTTTTAAACATGAATGTTGTCAAAAAATATTAATACATCAAATGATTATAATTTTTCAGATTGGCCTTGCAAAGGCGTATTTCATATGTATATATAACATGGTAGAATGATAAAGGTAGCCGATTCAGCTCAGCTGATTGGACAATGAAATGTCAAAAGAATGTCAAACGAATTGTTGTCATTTTAATTCGCCGCACATGCGCATTGCGTATCATCAGTTTCAAAGGGCAAACGTTTGAACTTTTTATAACATTAGTTATACCTCCACCTTCGAAAGGAGGGTATATTAACTTTGTCATTCCGTTTGTAACATCCCTAAATATTCATCGTAGACCCAATGAAGTTAATACAGGGTGAGATAAAAAACTGCAATGAAATTAAAAGTCATAATTTTGACTTTTTATACCCTACAACACTACCTCGAAATATTGGTTTCTCACATAGGAAAGTATATATGGATCTTCCTAGCTCGCCGAGTTGAGTCGATCTAGCTATGTATGTCCGTCCGTCCGTCTGTCCGTCTGTCCGTCTGTCCATGTTAATTTGTAATCACTCTACAGGTCGCAGTTATGGTCCGATCTTCACGAAATTTAGAATATAGGTGGGGCTTGGACCAGAATAGAACTCTATTGCTTTTGGAGATGATCGCCAAATGTTTAGGCGTTGAAATTGACCAAATACTGAAAAAATGTCAGATTTTGCAGTAGGTATACAGGTCGCAATTAAAGACCAATCGACGCGGAATTTCGCATGTAGCTAGACTTTAGGGGAAGAAGCCTACAAATTTGGGTGGTCATCGGATAATATTTAGCGGGTAAAATAGACCATATCTTTTGTGTTGAAAAATTCAAAATTTTTCATTATACCGTAAATAACAAAGCCATCACAAGGTTACTGCTGACCTTTACATTGATGTTAACATCCAACAAATCGGATATATAGCAAAATATGTGCGATATATATGTCTATCAAAGAAGATATGCTTGAAAGATCTCTTATATGTCGAGAAAGGCTGAACTGATTTCGACAGTTCTCATTAATTCAGAATGGCCTCTTGGCAGGAAAGAAAAACCGTCTAAAAAATCGCATAAAAATACCTATCTAAAGATGAAAGTATTGATTTTGTAAAATTTTCTCATATTTTTTCAATTTTGTCATATTTTTGGCATATTTTCATTTTGAATTAAACATTTGGTAATATTTCTACAGCTAACAAAACTAAGTAGTTAGGATATCAGGATATCATATATAGATCGCATTTATGGCCCGATCCTTACGAAATTTTGCATGGGGATAAGATGAGTGTCAGAATAGAAGCCTACTCTTTTTGGAGATGATCGCCATATATTTAGGGGTTGAAATGGACCAAAATACTGCAAAATTGTCAGCAGGTCGTAATTATCGCCCGATCCTCACGCACATTTGAATGGAGGTTACCGGACATTGCAAAAGCCAAATAGTTTTGGATGGCACTCCAAAAATATTCAATGAGTGAAATAGTTTGCCAACTTTTGTAGACAAAATACGAAAATATCCATTCCAGTGACTTTTTGGAAAATTCACAAATACAGGAAAGACGCACTTCTGAATATTTCGTTGAAGAATGTCTGTATCTCATATAGATGCGTTTCAGTCAAAAACCAATAATAAATGTTAATATTTTGCCACTTCTGAGAGATTATAGGTCTTTGGGAAATATTGGTTCCAGATCTAGGAAGACCATTTACGTCTCTACCAATAAATTGGAAATGAGCAAATTAGTTTAAGTTGCTATTATTCGAAAATTAGAGAACGAAACCTGATGGTTTTCTTTTATTATTTGTCACAATATATTGTGGAATTCTGTCGAGTATTTCGCCTATTTAAACTGTATGGTTTATTATAGTGTTGTATGGTATTCAAAGGTCGGCCCCGCTCGACTGTAGCCTTTGCTTACTTGTTTTTTTTTTTTTAATTTTATTGAGTGAACGCAAGAAATGTCGGAAATAGCATAAAATTTTAGAATAAGTTTAGATTTGTTTGTTTGGTCACCTTTGGCCGATTTATGGCCTTCAAACGACCAATGAAACCGTCACACGCTACCCGAATTTTACTCTGCGGTATTTTGGCCCGTTCCCGGCGAAGCGCTTGCTTGCGGTGATCGACACTTTGGTATTTTTTAGTGCCAAACTTGCTTTCCAAAATACAGATTGGTATCTGGAGATTTTGGTGGCCATTTTGCGCTGAAATTTTGTAACCATTCTTGGGTGGTACGTACTGAATGTGATGTGGTGCTGAGTCCTGTTGGAATGTCTAAGGTCCGCGACCAAAATGTTTGCGTGTCCAAGTCTTTAATACATGCTCCAGAATATTTTCGCGATAATATTCGGAATATATTTTTATGCCACTGTCGATAAATACGAGCGGAGAGCGACCATCGGCTGTTATGGTGGGCCTCACCATCACCATGGCCGGCGCTTGAGCTCTGGTGGCCAGCCAAAGGTCCACCATTTTAGCTGATCTCTTTGGCTAGTAAACACGATAATTTTATTTGTTTACAAACTGCTGGACAACGAATATCGGAGAAAACCAAATTCGGCAGTTCACCACTTTCGAATAATCGAAGCAACTCTTTAGCTCTATTGAGTCTGCTGCGGTGTCAGTTCTTGCACTTTTTGGAATTTCAATGGCTTTACTCCGAGCTCATTTTTCAATATTTGCCAAATGGAATATTGCCATATGTACGAGACACAAAAGATTTATGTACATTTAAATTCTGAAGTGCTCTAACGTTAGCCACTTGTGGTTTTCTAACCAAATATAAAGAAATCACACTACCACGCTCGAATTCCATCACGAATAACTTTTTTTCTGCAATATTTTAACCAAAAGGCTTTTATAAACAATATAATGAGCTGTCACTGGAATAATTTTAACAGCTGTCGCACTAGTGGCTATTGGAAAAGATAGCAGTCTGAAGTTGGTTGCAGTTTTTATACCCTCCACCATACTATGGAGGGTATATTAACTTTGTCATTCCGTTTGTAACTCCTCGAAATACTTATGTCAGATCCAACAAAGTATATATATTCTTGATCAGCGTAAAATTCTAAGTCGATTTAGCAATGCCCGTCTGTCTGTCTGTCCGTCTGGCTGTTGTAATCACGCTATCTTTCGAATGAATTGAGATAGATGGCTAAAATTTTGCACACATGTTTATTTTTCCAGTAGGCAGGTTAAGTTCGTAAATGGGCCATGTAGGTCCACGTTTTCATATAGCCCCCATATAACGGTACCTCCTTATATTCGGTATTTTGATGATTTTAACGACATTATTCACGGGAATTGTTTCAAATTTGGTATTTGAAGTTCGTTATAGGAACTACAGTCTGTGACAGAAAATTTTCTGTGCGGGTACAGGTCTTCGTATAGGCCCCAAATATCAGTACCTCCATATATTCGGTATTTTCATGATTTTAGCGACATTATTCACCGGAATTGTTTGAAAATTGGTATTTGAAGTTCGTAATGAATACTACAGTCTAAGATAGAAAATTGTCTGTGCAAGTCCATTTCTTCGTATAGCCCCCATATAACGGTACCTCCTGATATTCGGTATTTTGGTGATTTTAACGACATTATTCACGGGAATTGTTTCAAATTTGGTACTTGAAGCTCA